CACTGCATCGTAGGGATCTTTTTCAGAAGGGTCCTGCATTGGGATTTATTTTAAGATGTTTCCAAACAATTAATGATGAGTGTGTCCGTACAAGTATGGGAGGAAACCGTAACACCTGGAGAAATACCCACACGAGTGAGAGGGGTGCAACGCTCTATCCACGTACAGATTGAAACAGATGGCAATTAGTCCACTTGCTCTCCTGCTTTCTCCTGGCGAGCCACGGTATGGCACCTCGAAGGCCACGGGAAGGGAGATTCACATCTTCTGTTCGACGATCCACCTACCAACCCTCGCTGACTCCACGGCGCAAGGTTACCGGCGTGCGCCACCCAAAACGATGGCTCGTTGTTGTTCTTGACTTTTCCCCCATACCCCTCGTCGTTGTCTCGGTTACGCCTGGCGAAACGAAGACGGCCCAACGCCTATGCGCAATCGCGCTCTTGTGAGCCATCGGTTGAGCTGCCACCTCTTGATGTATAACAACGACCGGGACATAGGAAAAAAGAATATCTCCCACAATACCCAGGAGGGTGAACCACGTGTAGATGCATTGTCTCGTCAAAGTCAACGTGATTTATTTTCAAATAAGCTTGGAGGCGGCGCTATTCTCCTGTTTGCGGCCCTTAGCCAGTGGTGGAAATTCTACATTTTTTATTGTGAGGACAAGTATATCTATACGACAGTCACTGTTGTCTTCACCACAAAGTGGTACTCGTTTTATTGACCCCTGAGGGATGTTGGACTGTGTCCACCCACCCCCAACCAGGATTTGAATGCGCTCGCTGCCGTTGAGCCGCCTGGCCCGAGTGGTGCATTAATACTGCACAACAAACTAAAATCGGGGGGAACCTGTAAACGTCCCGGGAAGATTGACACTTTTCCCTCGGGTCATCGGCCCCAGAAAACCAAAACAGGCGGAAATGCCACTCGAGATTGTGCGGGCCGCTGGTGCCAAGTTGGTTTGCATTTAAGGAGACCAGCGGACATAAATCTCTTGCACCCAAGAGCTCTTTTTCAATCGCGGATTTTCATAATGAGGAAACCCTCCGGTGCAGTAGAACGCCGAGTGGGTGCTGATGGGCTGGCTGATGAAACGCTCGGTTTACTGCGTCCGGGCGCATTGCTTCTGGTAATATTCGTAGTTTTATCCTTCGGCGACTCGCTTACAATTTCCATGGGCAGATTTGCAATGCTGCTTAGTAGTGTTAGAGGATATTTTTACTTGAAAAAAGAAATCTCAATTACAATAACAGTTCAGATGCCAGGAGCATCGTTCTATGGCAGGATCATGAGAGGTGGCAGCTTGGGCGAGGCCATCATCCAACAGTGGATAAACCATGGCTGATGATCCAGGAAAGCTTGACTGTGAATCAAGACTCATTTTAAATTGGGTCCTGCCTTGGGATCTTTGGTCAGTTCCATTACCGAGTGTTTGGCTTTAGGTCGGAGGAAATCGGATCACCCAGAGAAAACCCGCATCGAGTGCCATCTTCTGCCCCCATCTGAGCTCTATGCATACAACACCTGGTAAGCCTCAGTGGTCACCCAGTGAAGTACCATTCGGGCTTAACCCTTTGCTTAGCTTCCAAGACTGTAATCTATTTTGACGAGCCAAGAAAGTCATGACAAGAATAATAATAAAGGCTACATGTGCGTTGCCTTTGCGTTTTAACGGCTATGCGCGTCGTAGAATCTTCGCTGTAGATCTGATGACAACGATGGTGGCTGCGATCGTTTCACGACAACAACGTGCAAAGAGAAGCCACCATAGCAGTCCTTGTGTTCGGGGACACGTATGTGTGAAGGTGACCATGAATAGCAACTCGCAGGAGGGCTTCTTCTGCTGTTTTTAATCCGCACACTGCATGTGCCGACGTGCATCGCTTGACAGTTTCGTGCAGGTGGCCACGGCGATGAATATCCACTGGCTCGCCAAGAGATGGTGTGACTCAGGTGCTAATTAAAGACGGTCCAGTATACATAGGCGTGTACGCATTCACACACGGCACCAGCAAACGGCTTGGTGGGAAATGCACAAATTACGGGAATTTCTGCGCGGCACTGTGCCTCTCGGTGCAATCGTTCAATATTGTGGCAAGTTAAATGTTACGCTTGCGCGCGGTTATTATTATTATTACGTAGCATGTGCAAATAAATTATATGGGTGCGATGGTGTGTCGCCCGCGGCCAAATCACCCGCAGTGCCGCTGGGTCTTGTCAAATCTCGGAACTTCAGCAGGGTCGAGCCTGCACAGTGCTCGGATGAGTGAGCATCATGCATGACGGGTGTTAAGAACCATTTTGAAGATCCGACGGAGGAACACAGGCCACTTGGTTCCTCTCTGCTGCCACGACGACAGAGTGGGGACCGCTCCCAACCGTGTCCCAACACCAACCACACGCACGGGAGGAGGGCGTTGATATTTCCTTCCATCAATGAAACGATCACGAGACTCGCCAAACTGCGAATGCGGTGAGGTGCAAACCGTCAGACGTGTCACTGATGGCCGCCCAATCGAGACATCGCGCGTGGTCTGGTGGAAGAAGCGGACTACACTCTGCTATCGCCCCGGATGCCGTGCAGTGGCTTAGAGAATTAAAAATACAGTTGTAGCCTGTTGTGCTTTTTTTAAACTGTCATGAAAGAAGAACAACAGGCTGCGTAGTGGGCAGCAAAATCCATTGTTCCTGTATTTTTTTACGACAGCTGTTGGAGTGGCCTGCCTAGCTGTGGCCCAGGGAGAGATGTAGAGAGCACGTTAACGAGATGAGAGCGATAACCAAACCTGTGGATATTGGGGAGCTGCAGACCAGAGATGAAGATGAGTGAAAAAGGTGGTCCACATGTCCAGACATTATTACATTGCAATTCAATATTATATCATAACATCTGTATACGCGACGCTATGGCGTTAAGACATTGCGCTAATGTGATACATGAGGTCGCATGACCTGGAAGCATTGGTCAGTTGGTGTTGTGTAAGAAAGGTAAAGTTGTGACCCTGGAACCGTTTTGCTCATGCCTCCGCTGGAGCAAACTTTAGAGAGTGTTTGGTCTACTCGCCCACGTTGATCGGACATGTTTGAAGAGGTGGGCATACCCACACTAACGTAACATAGCAACCGTCGTTCACCACTAAGTGGTGGTGATGTCACCACGGTGCTTGTGCCATGCTCGGTGCATTTTGAGGCCACGTGAATTGTCGATGGCTTGCTGGCAGGAGTTCATGGAACAGACCCAGGTGCCATGGGTTGTCTTGACTGCGATGGCCGGCGCTCGACTCACTGTTGTGAGCATCGCTCTTCTGCCCTTTATCGTTAGATTGATATAAAGTGGTGTACGTGCATTGACTCTTAGCAAAGGCCATCATTGTCTCTTGCTTGGCAGAGCAGCTCAGACGCAAGCATGGGCTGTAGTAGTTGTGTGCTAAGCAGATGAGTGGAGTGCTAGAGTCTGGGGTAAGCTTTTGTCCGAGTGTCATCCTCCTGATTTGTTCCACTGCGCACGTCGACAGCCTAAGAGGATTACAGCGCATCTTTTTCACCGCCACTGCCATCCTTGAGAGGCTTAGTAGGGCCCCTGATCTCATTGAAAACCTCTTCATCCCCAACAATGCTGGGCATTATTTACAAGTGAAAACTACCGAATTAATACCTGACTCAAGATCACATGCGTTTGCGAGTGTGATAAGAGATGTCGCGTCGGTACGGCAACTGTGGGTCGTCTCTGTTCGAAGGCCACATTCTGCATTGCGCAATCGTATGGTTCACAGGGAATCTCTCACTCTCTCAAAATTCAAGGGTCCTCCCCCTGGTTTGTTGAGGCCCCAAGCACCGCAGCAGCAGCGCAGTTAGGGTCGTCTTTTTTTACTCTCGCATGCCTTTTCAAAACTAGATATTTAAACCTCATGGCGGGACCCCGGGGTCCCATAAGCCCCCGGCTCTCGCATGAACTGCGTTGCGACGTCATTTTATGTCTGTTGAAGGCGAACGATACGGCGATCTATTCCTCTCGATGAGCTCTACACGACGCGCTAATCAAGGTTTTGTTTCTTCTGCGCATTCGTCCTCGCTTCGCTTGGACGAACAGAATGATCCGCGCTAGGTGGGTCGCGGCGTTCATATGCGCGGTGGGACGGAGTCGCCAAAAAATAATTAATTAACTACAATTTTTACTTCCGTTTTTTCGGGACCCCGGGGTCCCGCCATAAGGTTCATATCGGGGCACCAGGAGTGGCTGGCTGGCCGAATAAATCTACTCATAGAATTCTCGAGGAAGCTGTGCTACTTATTTGTGGGGCATTTTGAAGATTTATCAATACAGTAGTCCCTCGGTTAACAGTGACGTTGGTTAACGGTTTTTCGGTGAACGCTTCGCCTCCCATGGGGGACCCCCATTGTTTCGACTGACGTTATTTTTTTAATTAACGGTTCGTTTACGTTATTCATACGGGGCGCCAATTTTGGGCCAATCCGACAATAATGCTTCATACTCGATTGACAGTTATTTCGGTTAACAGTAGTTTTTTGTGGAACGGTTTGAAAACATTCACCGAGTGTCTACTGTAATACATGCAACTCGTTTATGAAATGTCTTTCACTTGTTAAAGCGAGGTAACATGGGAAGATTGCGTGGGGCGGTAACCTGGCCGAGCATCTGGCGCGTTCGCTCAGCGGCTGCCTTGGTTAATACCGTGGGTGTCTATGCAATAAAACCTGCGCTATTTGCTTCACAGTAGACATTCAAGATCGATCCAATGACATTATTAAAAACAAAAAATAGTACACCATATTACGCCGGTGTCATGGTTCAGATGTTACCGAATTGTATTAATGACTCGCAAATTGTTTAATTTTAGTAAAGCCAGACTAATGCCCCGCTTGCAGGGACAGCTGCCAGCGAAGGATACCCTGAGATGTACCGCATGGGAGCCGACGTGTAAACACCAAGTGACAATGACGATGAGAGCGTGCGTGGCGCGTGCCGTGTCTGGCAGGTGTCCCCAGATAAGACCCGCTATGCCGTGGGCAGCATCCTGAGCGAGGGAGGAGAGGCCCCGTCGGAGGACCTGTGCAAGCTCTTCGAAAAATTCGGCTTCCGGATCGTCTCCTTCCCGGAGGTTACGCACGTGGTGAAGACCACGTTCCCGTACACCACCTTCCTCTCCATCTTCCTGGCCATCTACAGGGTCGGCCCTGCGCTGGGCAGCTACATCAAGGTGAGGCGGCAACAACCCTCTCCCACCCAACCCGCTCCACCCATCGCATTTGCTCTTTGCACGTTCAGTTGGGTGACCTCCAACTCTATCACTTCGCTGATAATCCTCGCAGTGCTGTGCAGTCACCTCCCAGTTTTCATCTCAGGGTGCACTTCTGCGGCCGTCTGGAGCACTCTTCCTTTCTATATTAGGAAGCCACTGGAGCTACGCACTTTTAAATCTAGATTGAAAACAAGTTTTTTTAGAACTTTTTTTGCGTTTAATTGGTGTTGTCCTTCCCCCGCCCCTCCGATCAGCACGGTTGGCTAAGTACGGTGTGAAAGAAGTTCAACATACATACACACACACATGCATAGACGTGTTGGCTGGGAGGACAGGGGAGGAAAGGATACACGTTTTATGCCAAGGTCACACATGCGACCTCTTTCCTTTCTCTTCCTGCCTCTGCCCTCGTGCTACTGGGCTTTAGAACTCCCGTCCACTGTCCCCAGGTGCCTGTAATCCTTGCTGAATTCACAAAATATATCAACTCTTCACTTAACTGCTTCAACAAGGAGTGCTGTTGTTTCCGTTGGTCTCTTGGAGTTTTGGGTTTGTGCTAAAGCAACCGTGATTGACAAACACAATCACAGACCCTGAGTTTGGAGGATTTTAATATTCATAAACTTATCTTGTATTTACAATTTAGGGGTCTTCAATTGTCTTGTGTCTGTTATGTGTCCTTGTACAACAGTTTTAAGTGGCTAAAATTTGCTTTCAACATATTCATAAATTGCATTTATTTGACGATACAATTTTTACTTTGTGCAATTTTCCCATAATTTCAGTTACAATTTTCAAACGCCTATCACCATTTTTTATCCGATTGCTCGATTTAATCGGCACTTGGGAGCCAAGCCAAGCAAAGTCTCGCCTGGTTCGTGCTTGGATCGTTGACCACCAGGGCTTTGCCAGGTGTTGTTGACATGGAGCTGCAACGTGGCCATGAGATGGCAGTGCTGAGTATCTCTCCCCTCGTGTGATTGGGCCTTGCAGTACCCCAGTTCCCTGCCACAGGCCAAACCCTCACTCACGGCAGTGGCCAGACATCCGAATGCAGGACTCTCCGGCGAGAGTTTCTCGGCTAAATAATTGGCTTTTAAATTTTTTTATGAAATCGACCGTTTCATTATATAGCGAATGCATTCAGTCCATTGAGCAGAATTTTCATTTCGCAAAACCTTTTGTTGCAAGGTGTCATGAGAATACACAAGCTTGAAAACCTGGATTAATTGTCAGAATACATCAAAGAAAGGGAACCCATTCTCCCACCACCACCACGCAATTGCACCCAAGTGAAAAATGTGCGATTCGTTCAGGCAGTAAGTCACCATCATAATTGTGTAACATTGTCACCTTTGATGAATTTTTTCATTAGTGCATGGAGAAAATGACTTAATCGGGAACCTTTCCTGAAATATTTGCCAGTGGGTTCAGAAAGGCACTGCTTTTAGTCAGCGTTTTAAATGACTGAGCCACTCTGAAATTGGCGCTCAATCCATCCCCGGAGCTTTTACAAATGTAATGGTTCACTTAGCAGCAGAGTGATCACATGCCACCCAAGTGCCCTCTGAATACAATGCGTTAAGTGAGCAGTGTTTTGACATTTGGCTTGCAAACCCTGTAGCGATTCTAAATTGTTATCACCATTATTATGAAACGGGGTGATGAATTACTCTGCAGGCTTTGCTGTGTGTCGTGTTCAAGGCTTGCCAACACAAACCGTTGGTGTTCTGTATTTCGGAGATGCTGTCTTAACAGCGCCAATCTTTGACAAGGCAATGGAGCCTGCAGTCATGCCCGCTCGCTTACAAGTGAAATTGATTTGCTTTTTTAAGAAACGTACACCCTCGACCGACTCTGTGGCTTTAACTTTCGCACCAAATTCATGTTCACGGCAGAGAAAAGCATTAGGGGCCTGGCTGTCCAATTACTTCGAGAATCGATTACGCGACAGATTGGATAACGCAAATATAGTTGGGGGGAAAAAGGTCACACGTCTGTTCCAGAATGTTCCGCGAGATGCAAGGTGATGGGCGGGGCTCCGCGATGGCATCGGCATCATCAGGCGCGTCAAGCTGGGCATGGTTTTTCTCGGGGGAGGGGGGTGGGCTTCCCGCTTTCAGGAGGCAGGATGTTGGGGTGGCCTGAGTAGTTACCGACAAAGTAGTCGATTATAATTTCTGATTGATTAATCAACATAATTGACTCATGGGCTGTAAGTAAAAAAAAAACATTTTCCAAACACAGAGAGAGGGAGACTCTGCATTTCCCCAATGCTTTGCCTTCTGCAAGGATCATGCTCAGTCGCACTCCGGCACGTGGCCCTCCCTTGCAACGACGTCTCGCGTGACTGCCGAGCCCTCGGATGTCCCTCGACCGTCAATGGTGGGGCGCGGTGGCACAGCCGCGTGCCAGCGTTGCCGGCTGCCGCGAGTTAAACGCTTCATCGCCGGGGCCTCGTCCTTCATGCCGCGTTTTTTCTGCTCTCTTATGGCCAAGTCAGCAGCTGTTTCGGGCGCATCTGTTTTTTGCTGAGCAGAGGAAAGTTTGCTTTGCCAGTGCCTACGGCGCTTGCGGGCAGAATCTAATCAACACGCGGGTGCTTCTGCGCGAGCCATAAATATTTTAGGGGCACCGCGTTGAGTGTAGGCGCCTGCTTTTGGAGGTGGCATGTTTTGCAAGTGAGGCCGTGCTTTGCGTCTCTTAAGCTATGCCGTGTTGCATGAATGGGAATTATTAGCGCCTCGTACGTGTTTTTTTATCTTCGAACATTTGCTCTATTGACTTTCTACTGTGCAGTGTTGCTGATGTAAGCAATGTTCCAGTGAATGGACTGACGTCCCCTTGAGTGTTAAGCCATTGCAAATTGTGGTATTTGGGTTTTACTTCAATGTTACTGCACGCTTGTCAAAAAAATCAATGCATTGTTTTTACAGTTCAAGTAGATGCATATGAATGTATACATTCAGATATCAACTCACTGTGCGTTTTTGTGAAGCTTTATAAGTAATCGACAAATAGATACACCTCTATTTGCCCCCTGGCTTAACATTTTTACGTATTTCTTTGGGTCTATCATCAATGTGTGGTGTTTCAAGCAAATAAACTCGCCGTTACAGGTCTCATCAACAGTCAGGCTTTCTAGAACAAATACAATTACGTGGTGTGTGTCCACCACCAATTCGGTGGACGTCTTCTACCCGTTCCACGGATATATTTGATGAATTTGGTAAGGTTTTGTTTCAATAGATGAACCACCCGTTGTGCAGCAGTAACCGGTTAGAAGTGCCTCCGCAGAGCGACATTGTAGAAAAAACAAAAACGGTCGAAAAATATTTGCCCTGTCAAGGACAGCCCGTTGATCTCGTAAGTTGTTAAGCTTCATCCCGCCCTGCGTGATCGGTGCAGGCGAGAGAGGGGTGCACCTTCTGAAGTCCCAGGAGGAGGAGTTTGGGAGAATACGCTCTGGGCCACTAACCCAGCACTGGCAGTTGGTGTTCCCAGGGATTCTTATAATTAGTGCACTGGCAGTGATGCATCTGTTGCCCGTATGCTCGAGGGCGAGAAAATAGCCAGCCATTGCCCCCCGCCCCTCACCCCCCGCTGCCCGCCACCTCCCCCCCATTCACGATTCTATACGTTGCCACAGTTGCATTGAAGAATCATTGTTTTTGTATTTACATTGCAGTGCATGGTAGTAGACCTCTAGTGGTTGCAGGAGTCACATCAACCAGTAACTTGCCAAATATATATGAACGAAACACAACTGATTATGACTTGCACGAGCCAATGCGTTATATGTATTGTGAGCAGAATAATTGATTTCAGATGACGAATTGATGCATCGCTATACCCCCCGAGCATCGTAACCACCCAACCCCCCCCCCCCAACTTTGATCTTTCATACTACTGGATGAAGGTCTCTCCCCCCCCCACCTCCCCCAAGGTCACGTCAGCTGGGTATAGCTTGTTTGAGCGTCAGTTGGTGAAGAAGGGAGACCCAGAACCCGTTGAGAAATGTCACTCTCCACTGATTAGAGCCATGGCCCAGAATCAAACTCATGGCGTGTGGTTCGTAGTGCAGTACACTAATAATTGCGCCACCACTCCTACCATGATTTGTAAATACTTTTAAACATTGTGGTCGTCAAACAACAATTACTTTTGATGCACTCAAAATGCCGGTGACAGATTTATTTCCAAGGTCACACTTGTGTTGACTAACAACTTTTCAGTCGGCCTAGCATTTGCGGTAATTGCTCCGATTGTACCGGGCACCGTCACGGTCAGATCAAAGGCTCCGGATCATCTTGAAGCGGCTTGGTTTTGTTCTTTTGATCTCACAAGGAGGGAATTGCGTACAGCATTGGCATTTGAGCTAGGGTTTCGCTAATTGCATAGCGCGCCATGTCGCTTTGATAGTGGTGTTGCTTCACGATGGCCGACTCTGCGATGTGTATTGATGCAGTTGTATTCAGACACCTGTGTAAGTCTAAATGGCGATTATAATTGCTGTTGGTAAATAATAACGTAGGTGGCTTTGTTCAACAAGCAACTGTGAAGTTATTTCCTCTCCAAGGGTGTGCATTGGGAGAAATGAATCGCGCAAGAATCACTTCACCACACTCGAAGCCATTCCTACTTAAATGCAGAGCAAGATGCATGCTTAGCTCTCCCGTGTGTTTCCATATTGCACCGCACGTCTCTCCGCATGATGTCCAACGTTTTGTTCCACATGCTGGGAGCTTCTTCCGGAACTGTTTAGTTCCGATATAGCACAACGATGCAGCACGACAATGCCGTGTTTATCCATCGGTGTCGGCGTCCACAGGACTCCGCTGTCTTCTTAACATTTAGCATTTCCCTTTCGGGCCACAGGTCGTGCACAGAGAGAGCTGCTACCTGACTCCCCTTGCCAGCTACCCACAATCCCCGGTGAATGCTTAGCTCTCCGATGT